CTCCCACTCGGATCCTCTAATAGCGTCCCAGAACCTGCAAAGACACCTTTCCTTCATTGAGCAGTGGTGCAACAACTGGCGCATCAAAATTAATGAATCAAAATGCAAGTATGTAACTTTCACTCTTCGACGCAGATCCTGTCCGCCAATCCTTTTTAATTCAATTCCTCTTCCCTACTCAGACACAGTCCGATACCTTGGCTTCCTTCTGGACAAAAGACTGACTTGGAACCCACATACGAGACTTAAAAGACAAGAGCTTAACCGACGATTTGGTCAGCTATATAGACTACTAAACAGAAGATCTCATCTCTCAACAGAAAACAAATTATTAATCTACAAGACCATACTGAAACCTATCTGGACCTACGGACTTGAACTGTGGGGGACAACTAAATCATCGAATATCAAACGCATCCAATCCTTCCAGTCCAAAGTCCTTCGAACAATAGTCAATGCTCCATATTATGTCACGAACAAGACCCTACACCATGACCTTAACATCCCATATGTCCATGACATCATCCCATCCAGATTCTCCAACTTTCACCAGAACCTCATTCATCATCCCAATCCTCTAGCGCAATCCCTATCCAGCTCCGAGCATCCATACCATCCCCCTCGAAGGTTGAAACGGCAGTGGCCTCGAGATCTTTTGTAAATATGCCTTTGGAGTCCTGGCAATGGCCAGCTTCTCCACTCATGTCCTGAGCGTCTGTGGCTGTATTGCCCTCTTTCAGTCTCCACTGGCTTCTAATACTAGTGATGCGACTGGAAAAGTGGCACTGGGATCTTCCGGAGTCTTGCTTTGCCTTCCGCGTGTGGAGGTAAAAGCCTGGCTCGGAGATTCTTGGGCAAATGTATATATTGTATATAGTTATGATTGTGTTTAGAAGTTTTTATTTTATTTTATTTTTTTTTTTATTTTTTTTATTTTTTTTATTTATTTACCTTCTTCATCAGTATTATTTATTTACTTCTTATATTTATATTTATTTCTTTATTATTTGTATATATTGTATGAATGAGAACTTTTAGCCCTGATGCTTATAGCCCTCCAGCAGTGGCTGATTGTATTATTATTCAATAAATAGATTTCAAAAAAAAAAAAAAAAAGTGAGTGAAAACGTGAATCCATCTAAATTTGTGGGTGTAATATCAATATGTTATTGAAAACTGTGATAACAATGAGGTTTGTAATTGTATTCATTTAATATAACAAGATATAATAAACTTATCATGAGCTTTTCATTATCTGTAAAATACAATATTAATTTTTTCAATTAACATGATTTTTTTCTACTTTATTTAATAATTGGATTTAAAGTGTGACCACATATATTATTAGACACACTAACAAATGTTGTGGCCAAGAATATAATAAAAATAACTGTAGACTGGAGATAAATTTGCATAAGTATATATATTCTAATAGGGAATTTAAGTCTCTACAACTTCTTTTAAATGAATTTCTTTCTCTGATGAATATCTTAGATCTCCGCAATCTGACACAAACCACAATTCGACAAGCCAAATCTACTTATTTCCATGAAGCCCTTTCTCCAGCACCCGATTCCAAATCCAAATGGCTACTTCTTCGTAAACTCTCCCTTTGCGAATCTTCCAGATTCCCTCCCTCTGCAGTGCTCCCAGTTTTACCAGACGATTTAAATTCTTATTTTATATCTTCTTCCTCTTCCATTCCTCCATTCACCTCTTCCTTCTTTTCTCCTGGAACATCTTTCGACGATGACGACTTTTATTTCTCAGATATTTCTCCCACAGACCTCATATCTGCCGTGATGAAATCACATTCTAATTCTATTGGTCCAGATGGCATTCCTATCAAATTAATCAAATTATGCCTTCCTGAAATCCTTACAGTGACCCTTTTCATCTATAATTTCTCCCTTCAAAATTAAGTATTCCCTACCTCATGGAAAAAAGCCATGGTCCGTCCTTTAAATAAAAATTCTAACCTGACTTACCCATAAGATTCCTGGCCAATCTCAATCCTTTTTAACCTTTCAAACCCCTGGAGAGAATAGTGCAATCCCAAGTTTCCAACTTCCTAGAACAGTCCAATCAACTTGACCCTTAACAATCTGGCTTCCGACCAGGTTACTCCACACAATCTGCCCTAATCAAAATCATTAGTGATGTTCAGTTCGCCATAGATGACAACAAATTAACGATCCTTTTACTTCTTGACTTTTCCAAAGCCTTTGATACCATTAACCATCCCATTCTCTTTTCCAAATTGAAATCATTATCTGAGAAGGAATTAGTCGAGGGTGCGGTCAAAAAATAAAAAAATTAAAATATATAAATAATTTTAATTTTTGCCGACGTTTCGACCCACTTTGCAGGTCGTCTTCAGGGCTACAAAAGATACAAACATGTTTAAAAAATAAAAATAAAATAAAAAATAAATATAAGTATATATAAATTACGAAGAAGTTGTCAGATACAGAAATAAAAGATAAAGAAAATAAATACATGATAAGAAAATAGATAAAAGAAAATAAATATATGAATGTTAACGAATAAATTGATTGAAAATTGAATAACTATTGTTACAGTAAAGTTAAAATATGGATAAGATAACATAATAATAAGATATCAGTGGATAACAAGCAAGTGGAGGTTACCTTTAATTGTAAATAAACAGATAACGGGACCAAAGGTTAAGAAGTGAAGAAATTGAAAGATTAATAGGGTAACATTAGTGTAATATTGTTGGGATAGATTATTAAGTATAAATAACTCTATAAGAAAACAATAATTTTAAAAGAATACTTTAAAATGTAAGAATAAATGTAAAAACAAGGTTATGATGATAAAGAAACAAAAAACAGGTTGTACTATATATAGATGACAATTGACATTTAGTTTTCTGAAAGCGGTAATGGAATGGTAGGCTGTATGAAGATAATAATAAGGTGTATAGTTGAAGGATAGGTGTGTTAAGAAAGGAATCTCAATAATATTCTTAACACACCTATCCTTCAACTATACACCTTATTATTATCTTCATACAGCCTACCATTCCATTACCGCTTTCAAAAAACTAAATGTCAATTGTCATCTATATATAGTACAACCTGTTTTTTGTTTCTTTATCATCATAACCTTGTTTTTACATTTATTCTTACATTTTAAAGTATTCTTTTAAAATTATTGTTTTCTTATAGAGTTATTTATACTTAATAATCTATCCCAACAATATTACACTAATGTTACCCTATTAATCTTTCAATTTCTTCACTTCTTAACCTTTGGTCCCGTTATCTGTTTATTTACAATTAAAGGTAACCTCCACTTGCTTGTTATCCACTGATATCTTATTATTATGTTATCTTATCCATATTTTAACTTTACTGTAACAATAGTTATTCAATTTTCAATCAATTTATTCGTTAACATTCATTTATTCGTTAACATTCATATATTTATTTTCTTTTATCTATTTTCTTATCATGTATTTATTTTCTTTATCTTTTATTTCTGTATCTGACAACTTCTTCGTAATTTATATATACTTATATTTATTTTTTATTTTATTTTTATTTTTTAAACATGTTTGTATCTTTTGTAGCCCTGAAGACGACCTGCAAAGTGGGTCGAAACGTCGGCAAAAATTAAAATTATTTATATATTTTAATTTTTTTATTTTTTGACCGCACCCTCGACTAATTCCTTCTCATATCATATCAACGGTCAACCAACTCTACATCATTATGAAATCATTATCCTTTTCCAATAACTCTATCCTGTGGTTTCAATCTTTCCTCTCTCAACGCTCACAAGCTATCGCTATCCCTAATCAACCTTTGTCTTCCTATCTTACTCTGTCCTCAGGAGTGGCCCAGGGCTCTATCATATCTCGTCTTCTTTTCAGTTCTTATAACAACTACATCCATAAATTAATCCTTCACTGTTCCCATCACTTTTATGCCGATGATTCACAAATTTACCTTTCCTTCTCCCTTAGCGTTGCATGATGCGTTTGCCGAAATTCAAGAAAACTTGAATCGGATCAGTGCCTGGGCAAACTTAAATGGATTAAGATTAAACGCTGCCAAAACTCAAGCCGTTGTCACTGGTTCCAAATCCCTTCTCAGATCCAATACCAACGTTCCTATCCTGTACCTAAATGACCATCCCATCACCTTCAGCTCCTTAGTAAAAAAATTAGGCATTTTTGTAGCAAATCCAATGGAAATCACCTGGAATCATCATATTGCTCACATCTCCCAACGGTCAATTGGTATCTTGAAACTATTCCATCACTTCCGACATCTACCCATTTTCACATGTAGACTCCTAGTGTCTTCCCTCACCTTGATTACGGCTGCGTGGTGTACGGTGGCCTCTCGGCGGAACTCGGGGACAGACTGAAAAGAATTATGAATGCCTTTGTAAGATTTGTCACTGGGACCCTGAGACGTTCCCATGTTTCGCACCACTCCTCTCCTTCAATCCGACCGATTCCTCATATGACATCCTAAAACTCCAAGAAGGTATTAATTGTCATGTTAATGTTACGATTTGATTCATTCAAATGAATACAAGATTTTAGACTCTAAATTAAAATATCCGGACTGATAGGACCATGTCCTGCGGCTTGATGAGCTCCAAAGTAGGCAGAGTTAGTTTTTTAGTGTATGCTTGTTTTCTGTGTTTAATGGGTGAACTGTAAATGAACAAATAGTGGAATGAATGTTGGTTCGTGGCACCGAAATAAATCAATCTTCGGGAGACTATCTCCTATTTTTCTGATATTTCCCCTTGGGATACCCTGTATGTTAATGATGAAGTCCAGCTACTCATTACAATTCAGCCTATGACCTCTAAAGATTTCACTCCTCTTCCTAACATATTTGTTTTTCTTTCTTCCCTTCAAAATGTTTCTGTTTGTGTATAAATATTTATATACATTAAACAAAATTTAGATTGGATATTCCTGATTTGACCTCTTTTTTTTTTTTATCATTTAGAAATGCTGAAAAACAATTTGTTGCTGATACTGGAGCAATAGAACCTGGCACAGAATGGGAACGAATTGCTAAGCTATGTGATTTTAATCCCAAATCAAGCAGAACCAGCAAAGATGTTTCTAGGATGCGCTCCATTATTCTTCAGCTCAAGCAGACACCTTTAAATACAACGAAAAATACATAATTGTAAAATTGTTAAAGTTATTGAATTCCTTATATTAATTTGATTTAATTAATTTCTGCATTTATCATCTGTTCTTATAATTGCGTTAAATTAAATATTTAATATTTCAACTATTAGCTATTTTACAACTATTATAAGAATTTTTGAAATAAACAATGTAATGTTTTTTTCAGTTTAATTATTTGTAAAATGTGATACACGTGCTTCACAAATTGTCTATCAATATTGTTATCTCATTAATTAATTTGCTAAAGTATTTGTTAATCTTCATTATGCAGTGTTTAAAAAATTTAAAATTTATGGTTAAATCTATTAAAAAAATTATTGATATTATGTTCTTTAATTGCTTGGAAAAAATCAGTATTTATTTATTTGAATAAATGTCTTCATATCACTGTATGAATTTTTTTAAAATTTATATTTGAGTATTAAAAGTGTTTTATCATTTTTCTATAATGAAAATAAACATGTTAGCAGGAAAAAAAAAAATGCTTTTCTTTCCTTCATTGAAACCATCTGTCTGTCTGCATCGGAAACATAGGTTATTAAAAAAAAATGAAGTGATCCAAAAATGAATATAATGTGTGTGAAAAGATATGCAGAAATAAGGCAAAACCCTAAGTGACTAAGGAATTCTATCTATTTTAGTTGTATATATTTAGTTAAAAAAAAAAATTTAGATGAGTATGGTGCAGAGCACCGAAATCTTCAAAAGATAAAATATTACTTAATATAAAACAGCTTAATAAACAAATTAAATTTTTTTGGGAGAGATGATGTCATTGTCAAGGAAGGGAGGGAGGCAAATGTCTGTTGCTGTCACTGCATTGCAAAAAAAAAAAAAAAAATACTTCAACGATTTTTTTTTTTGTGATATAGCTAATGCAGTTTAGATAAGGGAAAAAATACTAATGTAACTAGATTAAATGGTTCAGCTAGGATAATATTATTCTATGAACAAAGCTAGATGAAAATCATCCCAAACAAAAATATAAAACCTCTGCCAATAAGATCAGTTTCTCACTATTTTCATATATTACACAATTACCTATATTTCAAGTTCAATTTTTCATTTAAAAATAAAATCTTTAGGAGGAGCTGTTTTCAAAATACAGTAATCCCTCAACATTTGTGGATTTGATTACTGGGAGCTTTGAGCATGATCGAGTTCAAAAATGCGGATGAGTTCCACATTTGTTATAATTGTGTATATTACTATTCCTGATTAGAAAAAAATTGAAATGTAACCAAATTAAACAATTCCCATGACTGTAAGTTTGTACAAATTGAACATGATTATGTACTTAATAGTTGTTTTTGCAAGGGCTTGAAATGGACAAAAAAAACTTATATTTTTAAAAAGTTTTGGTACCACCTGAATTTTTACTGTTTATAGTTTTCAGTTCTTTTGGAACTAGAACTTTTTCCCTTGTAACATTTCAAATATAGGTTTTATAGAATAATTAATTAGGTTTTAATAAATTTAAAAAAAAGTTATTTATATGTTCTGTCAATTTTCACTAAAAAGTCGATCAAAAAATACTTTTATTCTTAGCAACTCAAACAAACGATACATTAGAATCATATGTAATTTATTTAAGACAAATTATAATTCAAACTAAGCCCAGTTACTGTTTATTTTTCATTTATCAGAACTTGAATGAATAATAAAAGTTACTCTTTTTTACTATAAACCTAGAACTTTTTTTTTACAAAAAAATTCCCTTAGAACTTTAATTTTAAAAAGGTTCTATAAAAGTTTCATCCCTGATTTAAAAATTCAATTTTTTGTTTGTTCAGTGTTTATGAAACCAATTTTTTCTATTAGTCAGATCAAAATTAATTCAACAAGGAATATAAGAATATGAGTGAAGTTTACAAATTATATAGACTTGTTTGTCCGATAAGTGAAGCCAAATTAATAGTAATTCAGAAGAAGAGAAGATCCTGGGAGAACTTTGATCAGAAGCTGGAAGAAAATGCAAAGAAAAACTAGAAAGTCTTTTACAGAGTGCTCAAAGGAATGGCCAACTGCCCTGAAAGGAAAAAAGGATAAAAACGGGAACATCTTCTGACTTGAGGAGTGCATGGAAAGATGGAGGAAATATTTTAAAAACCTGTTTGAGGGGAGAAACGTTGAGAAGTGCGAAACACAGAATGATGAAGAGGAAGTGTGGGATGAACTCAGTGAAGAAGAACTCCAAGATGCAATCGGAAAGACAAGACTAGGGAAGGCAGCTGGACTCGATGGAATTACCCCAGAAATGATTAAGTACGTGGGCAGCAAAAGCCAAGAGATGTTACTCCATCTTTTAAAACCTGTTCTGGAATAAGAAGAAAATTCCCAGAGACTGGGAAGTAGCAGTGATTGTGCCCATTCACAGATAGGGGGACAATCGGGAGTGCAGCAACCATAGGAGAATATCCCCTCTCAGTGTGCCTCCAAAGGTCTATTCTAGAATTCTACAAACAAGAGTGAGGAAAATTGTTGATTGCCAACTAAGAGAAGATCTGTATGGCTTCAGGAATCAGAGAAGCACACAGGATCTCATCTTCACGATGAGACAAATAACAGAAAAGGCTGTTGAGAAGGACAATGAGCTCTCCATCCGCTTCGTGGATCTCCAGAAGGCTTTTGACAAAGTGAAGAAAGAAGACATAGAGAGGGCACTGTCTGAGCGGAGTGTAGACTGTGGAATAACATTGGCGGTGATAAGTCTCTATAAATAGATGAGGAATGTGATCACAACCAGAAACCACATTTCAAAAGAATTTGAGACTACATTGGGTATCCGACAGGGCTATAGCCTGAGGCCGTTGATCTTCATCATGGTTCTAGACTTGGTACTAAGAAAAGCCAAGCCTATAATGAGGAAATTCCAGCTAAGGCACAGAAATATGCACCCTACCACATATTCCCTGTTGGCCTTTGCTGATGACCTCATCTTACTAACCCCCAATTATCGAGACCTTCAACATAACATAAATGTCTTCTAAGAGAAATTATCCACAGTAAATATGAAGATTAATCTGGAATAGACTAAATGCATGAGAATAGGAAAGAAACCCCGGATAATGAGGATACTAAGGGTTGGAGGACAGAGCAGGTCGAGAGTTTTAAATATCTGGGAGCTCATCTCAATGAGAGTAGCTACATAGACAAAGAATTGGAGCAGCAGGGAAGATGTTCAGTATGGTCAGAGGGGGTTTCCTGGGAAGAAGAGAGGTGTCAAAGCGGACAAACTAGCACTGGGAGTAAGTCTAATAAGTTTTCTGGGGATCCCTGAAGAATGCAGACATTTGAATATATTCTCCCTGTCAACATTATCATAGGCCTGTTTGAAATCGGTAAAACATTTCCACAAATAGAGTTACATTAAAATCATTTGATTGATCCAGCATTTGCATAACTGAGAATATATGATCAGTGGTAGGCCGACCTGGTCTAAAACCGCATTGTTATTCTCCTACTACATTCTCAGCCCATTTTAATAATCTGCTGATTGCTATAGAGAGCACTTTGTATACTATCCCAAGGAGGTATATTCCATGATAATTTCTACACTCAGTTTGGCTCCCATTTTTATATATCGGACAAACTAGTAAAGTTATTGGAAAGCAAGCAATATTGCTCGGGTGCATTTCTGGACATAGTTCAAGCTTTCGACCGGGTATGGCACGCCGGGCTTCTTTCCAAGCTGAAAACTCATCTTCCTCAAGCCTTATACCTTGTCCTCCGTTCCTACCTCTCAGATCGTACCTTCCGAGTTCCCTGCGGTAGTGAATTTTTGAATTGCTATCCAATTGAGGTAGGTGTTCCTCAAGGTAGCGTATTGGGTCCCGTCCTTTACATCCTCTTTACCGCCGATATCTCTGTCCATTCCGATACCTTCCATGCAACTTTTGCTGATGACACCGCCATTCTATCATCCGACTCAGATCCTGATATAGCATCCTTAAACCTTCAAAGACACCTCTCCCTGATTGAGCACTGGTGTAATAAATGGTGTATTAAAGTAAACGAATCCAAATGCCAACACATCACCTTCACGCTCCAATGCAGTTCCTGTCTACCAGTACACTTTAATTCCATTCAGCTTCCTTTCTCAGACACAGTCTGGTACCTTGGCTTTCTCTTAGACAGACGACTAACGTGGAACCCTCATACTAGACTTAAAAGACAGGAACTAAAACGACGATACGGACAACTATACTGGCTACTAAACCGAAAATCTAAACTCTCCATTGAAAACAAGTTACTGATCTACAAGACAATACTGAAACCTATCTGGACTTACGGACTTGAACTGTGGGGAACAGCAAAATTTTCTAACATCTAACGCATCCAATCCTTCCAATCCAAAGTCCTTCGAACAATAGTCAATGCTCCTTTCTATGTAACCAACAAAACCCTACACTATGACCTTAATATCCCATTTGTCCTAGACCTTATACCAGCAAAATTCTCCAAATTCCACCAGAACCTTACCCATCATCCAAATCCCTTTGCACAATCTCTATCCAGCACCACCCATCCATATAATCCTCCTTGGAGTTAAAACGGCAGTGGCCCCGCGATCTTTTATAGTTTGTAAATATTGGAGTTCTGGCAATGGCCAGATTCTCCACTCACGATATGAGTGTATGTGGCTAAAGCACTCTTGCTCAATCTCCACTGGGTTTAGCCCTAGTGACGCAGTTGAGAGAGGAGTGCAGGGAACTCCTGGAGTCATACTTTTCCCTCCACAGTTGGAGGGACAAGTCTGGTTTGGAGTTCTCTCGTCAAATTGTAAATATTGTATATAGGTGTGTACGTGTTCTTATTATTTACTTATTTTTAGGTTATTTTATTCTTATTTATTGTATATATATTGTTTTTCTGTATAATTTATTTTATTTATTGTACATATAGTGTGAATGTGATCTGTGAACTCTATTATAAATGTCCTAGAGACAGATTTTTCAATAAATAAGTTTAAAAAACAAAACAAAAAAAAACTAGTAAAGTTAATCAATCTTCAACTCAGGAATTTCAAGTAAAGTATAAGAATAATGATATTTTTTTCGTTATTTACAATTGGTCACTTAGTGGTGTACTTTTAATGTTATGACCAAAAAAAAAATAAATAAATAAAAAGATAATAAAATAATTTTTAATAAATATAATTTTCTATTGGAATCATTACTTGTTGGGCGCCTGGGTTTACTAGTCTTTGATCTCTAAAGAGATTATA